AGATCGTAAAACGGGGCAAAACTCACTTAATGACTGCCTCGCTTAATAATAGACATTTGGGGCTCCGCTGTAACTGTAAGTCGAGGACTACCTGTAGAGAGATGGGGCACCTGGTTAGCTTGTCCATCACCCTGTTGGAGATTGTTGGGAGGGGTCTCCTTTCAGGACGGAGTCGCTTTGGTCATCCCTGCCCCTTTTGCCCGGCCATCTCTGAGCCCTGGGAAAGTCCTTCTCCACTTTCCCATCTCCCGAGCAAGGAGAAGGCTGGGTTTTTCTCTGCAGAACGCGGACAAAATCAGAAGCGGGTTACCTGACGCCATTTTCCCCCCTTGGCCCAGGTCTCCAGGAACGCTCTCAGTGCCTGCGTCACGTTCATGGACTGGAAGGAGGTTCCCAGCGACTTGTTCAACTATGAAATGTACAGCAGTCCCCATAGCATGTACAAGGACATCTGCGCCATCGTCGTAAGTCTGAGCCAAGCTGGCTTGTTTTGTTCCAGATGGTTGTATGCTGACCGTTTAATTTTATTTTATTTTCGTCCCACCTTTGTTTATAAATAAGTCGAGATGGTGGACATCCCTAATACTTTTTTCTTCTCCTCCGATTTCCTTCACAACAACCCTGTGAGGTGGGTTGCGCTGAAAGAGAGGGACCGCAACCAAAGTCACCCAGCTGGCTGTGATGACTAAGGAGGGACTAGAGCTCTCCATCTCCTGGTGATTGACCCAAAATCACCCATCCAGCTTTCATACCTAAGGGGGGACTAGAACTCCCAAATCACCCAGCTGGCTATGAAGACTGAGGCAAGACTAGAACTCTCCATTTCCTAGTGCAGGGGTGTCAAACTCAATTTCATTGCAGGCTGCATCAGGGCTGTGGTTGACCTCAGGAATGGCCGACTGGGTGGGCGTGGCCAGCTCAACTCCACTCCCCAAACTGCATGCATGTTTCATCTTTGCATTGGGTAGACCGAGTCAGTGCCTGGCTGGCCCTCTTTCCTGTTATCCTTGGGTAGATCGGGCTGGAAGGTAGGCTGCCCTGATCCAGGGGTGTGAAATATAAGGGCCAAGGGCCAAATGGGACCCACGGGATGCTCAGATCCATCCTGCGGGGCCCTCCTGGTCTCCCCAATGCGAAGAGGAAAGAGATTGGCCTACAACCTATTTATTATTGTCTTTAATAACATAAATGTGTTTGTACATATACTATACTATATAATGTAATAATGTTACATTGTATTGCATTGCATTGTATTGTACTGTAGAATAGGATAGTACATTCCATTATAGTAAAATAATATCATTTAGTATAATAAAATATAGTATAGTATAATAATATTCTAGTTTAGTATCGTACAGTATGAGGCAATACAATATAATGCAACATAATATGTCATTGAAGACTTTGTTATTGAGGGCATGAGGACTAGAAACCTGACCAAGAAAGAGGCCCCTTTGTGGAAAAAAAGGAAGCTATAGAGTTCATTGGCTTCTTTCTTGCCTTCTTTTCCCCAGATGAATAAATGCAAGCAAAACATCTCCCAAATGTTGGACCAAATGCTGGATTTCCTGCGGAACAGAAAGCCTCTTTATCGAGAGGCAGCTGCCCAATTAATTGGTAAGCACAAATGCAAAACTTGGAAGAAGGGGATGGAAAAGCAAGACAGACAGGCAGCTTAAATCCATGCACGCTGATCACTATCTCACACACACACACACACACACACACACACACAGACCCTGCAGAATTAAGGACTATTGCACCAGGCTGGAAGTTGCTGTTACACCGTGTGGCTTCTCCGTAACTGTTACAATTTTTTGAGTTTCAGAAGCCTTCTTCCTTGCTATGATTTCCACTCCCTGTCTCCTTCCCAGCCCCCATTGGCCCAATTTATCAAAAAGGGATAAATTGTTAAGAGGTCTTCTAGTCCAACCTTCTCTTCAAGCACGAGCCCCTATACCACTCCAGACAAGTGGCTGGCCAATCTCTTCTTAAAAGCCTCCAGTGGGGAACACCCAAAAGTTAGACCTAGAGAGACTTTGAATAACTTTATTGTCCCTTTAAATGTACACTAATCGGCATACATTAAAATGAAATTTCATTGCATGCAGCCCTCAAAAACCACTAGAAGGAAGCCGTTGCCCTGATTAATTATCCTCACTTGTTAGAAAATTTCTCCTTCATTCCAGGTTGCTTTTTTTCCTTAATCAGTTTCCATCCATGGATTCTTGCCCTGCCTTCTGGTGCTTTGGAAAATAGGTTGAACACACACACCCCTTCCTTGCGGCTGCCCCCTCAAATACAAATTACAAAGCTAATACAATCACTGCTTGTAGAAACAGAGGCATAGAATCAAAATCAGGTGATGTATTACTACCGCTTCATAACGCCTTAGTAAGGCCACACCTGGAATGCTGCATCCAGTTTTGGTCAACACATTACAAAAAAAGATGTGGAGACTTTGGAAAAAGGCTAAAGAAGGCCAAATAGGATAATGAAAGGCCTAAACCACATGAAGAATGGTTGGAGGACGTCTCTGTTGAGTGAACAGCGTGATTACAGGTTTCACATACACATACAAATATGACCATGATTACATATTCAATTTTTATATCCAATTCCTTATCTTAACAGTGCTTTTATATACATTTTCTATTTTATTGTATTATTCCAAATATTTATCTCATTATTTAATTCACTTATGATAACTTCATAATCTTTATGCTTTAGTACTATTAACTGTCACATTTGTATATTTCATCTTAAATTCTAATTTAAAAAAAAAAAAGACACTTCTTCTATAAATTGGTTTCCCCCCTGAAATCTCAATATAAGTGCGCCACCTCTAAGTTATAAATTCATTTATTTTCGCCCCTTTTAAATCTCGTTAAAACATTTAACATTACTTCAAACGTTAAACTTAATAATCCCTTTAAAACTACATCGCATATATAAATCAGATCAGTGCATGATTTTTCTCCTTTTAAATTTCATTAAATTCCCCCCCCCCCCCAAAAAAAAAGAGAAATGTTAAAATATGGAAAACTGAATAAAACTTCTTTAAAAACAAAAAAAGAATGGTTGGGGGAATTGGGTATGGCCAGTCTAGAGAAAATAAGGACCGGACATGATAGCAGTCTTCCAGTAGTTGAGGGGTTGCCCTGAAGAAGAGGGGGTCAACCTATTTTCCAAAGCATCAGAAGGCAAGACAAGAAACAAGGGATGGAAACTAACCAAGGAGAGAAGCAATTGGAATTAAGAACAATTCACCAGTGGACCAGTTTGCCTCCAGAAGTTATGGCTACTCCATCACTGGAGGCTTTTAAGAAGAGACTTGGACAGCTCCTTGTCTGAAATGCTAGTATAGCATCTTCTGCTTGAGGAAGGGGTTAGACTAGAAGACCTCCATGGTCCCTTCCAGTTCTATTCGGATTGGTTGGTTGGTTGAAATATTGAAAGACTGCTATCATGTCACCCCAGTCCTTCTTTTCATTAGGCCACTAGACATACCCAATTCCTGTAACCATCCCATAAGGTTCCCAAAGCGACTGTCCCAAGTAGAAACAGATGAATGGTGATTTTTTTTTTTCCTTTAATCAAAGCAGTCGATTTAGCCATCTCTGCCAACTCCATCAACGTTTTCTATTTATGTGTCTAGCCTGCTGCGCACCGTATTTAACACAGGATGTGGTTCCCTCCAGTCAACTAGAAGCAGTTTACCTCGGTGAGTTTAAAAGTTCCCTAGCTTGAAGCAGTAACTTTTTCTCCAGAAGCCCTGTCGCTGATAAGGGTTGGTCCTCCAGGTTGTTCCGGGAAATAATTTGCTTTTTGGATTCGTTTCAGCTCTCCGGGATCTGGAAGGCGATTGTGAACCCTCAGTGGCTCAGGTGGCAGCTGCATCATTAGAAGAACTATTTCGACAATGTGGCCACCGAGTAAACCCCGATCTAGTTAGTAGCCAGCTCCTCGCCAAAGTCATTGGAAGCATCTCCATACAGCCCCCTAAGACCCCGCAATAAATCATTTAAAGAATTTAATGGTTTACTTTATTGTCATTGCACCTCATACGACGAAATTAAATGCCATCTTCAGTGTGTATATCTATATCTATATCTATATCTATATCTATATCTATATCTATATCTATATCTATATCTATATCTATATCTATATCTGTCCATTCGTCTGTGTGTGCGCGCGTGTGTGTGTTTTCTTTTCGCGGGTATTTATATGTACCGTATATACTCGAGTATAAGTCGACCCGAATATAAGCCGAGGCACCTAATTTTACACAAAAAAACTGGGAAAACTTATTGACTCGAGTATAAGCCGAGGGTGGGAAATGCAGCAGCTACTGGTAAATTTCAAAAATAAAAATAATTAATTTGGGAAACGATCTCACTATCATGAAAGGTTTAATTGATTCACTAACCCAAAAGAAGAAGATGATGATGACAGCGGGAGGCAGGAGTCACTCTCTTCCCCTCCCTCGGAGGCCCCCTGAGTCAGGAGTCACTACCGCCGGCGCGGCCCCAGTCCCGCCGCCTCGAGAAGGGAAAGGCAAAGCGCTTTTTGCCTTTCCCTTCCCGGCTGGGGCTGTTGGGAGTCGCTGCCGCCGGAGGCCGCGACTCCACACCATTTTTTTTCAGAGGGGAATCTGACTCGAGTATAAGCCGAGGGGGATTTTTTCAGCACAAAAAATGGGCTGAAAAACTAGGCTTATACTCGAGTATATACAGTATGTGTCATGCTTCTGGTGGATTCTGACTCTGAGGAAGAGGAGGAACAGCCGACAGGGAGTGGGAGTGTGGCTCCAGAGGTGGTGGAGGAGGCTGGGGAAGGGCAGAGGCCGTCTGAGCAATCAGAGGAGGATCCAGGCCTATCCCCTATCCATCCTACGTCACGCAGGGAGGAGAGGATCAGGGAAAAGCGAGGTCTACTCAGGAGGAGATTACCATGATCCTCCTCGTGGCTTGCAGGTGGGAGCTATGTATATAAGTTTGCAACTGCACAGTTAGAATTGCTGAAGTCAATTAGTGTTCATTTTGAAAGAGGCTTATCTTTGCTGGCATTCTTCCCATGGACTTTTCTCGGTTATTTTCCTGGAGTTTATAATTAGTTATCTTGGCTTGCTTTGGAACTCTCATCACTGTGGTTTGTTTTGGTTTTCTGTTTGCCTCATTATTTACTTTTGTGACTTTAAACTGTGCCTAATAAAACAGTGAAGTTAAGTTGAAGGCTTTACTGGACTTTAATATATGTTTTGGGTTTTGGGTTATTTTGAGAGACTACGGGTCATCACAGTATGGTTTTCAGCTCTGTTTGGGTATTTTCCCACGTCATTGTAGTTGTGCTTTTAAAGTTGTAGCGACGTTTCGGCAGAATCTCATCTGCCATCATCAGGCTTGTGTATTGTGTTCATCTGTGAGTCAGGCTTTCACAGCCGTTTCTGATTTAAATTTGGTGCTAGCCTACTGCTGTGTTAGAATGGTTTTTTTCTTCATCCTGATTGGTTGGGAGTCTTGGTCTGTGTTTACAAACGCCAAGACTAATAAACATAGACCAAGACTCCCAACCAATCAGGATGAAGAAAAAACCATTCTAACACAGCACAGTCGCTACAACTTTAAAAACACAACTATAATGACGTGGGAAAATACCCGAACAAAGCTGAATACCATACGTACATACATAAACATAGATACATAAATACATACATACATGTGTGTTATGTCTCACCTGTGCCAACGAAGTGAGAAGTCCAAGTTTCCAAAGGAATATACACAAGCAGACAAGACCAGTAATGACAGGGTTAAATTCCTTTGGCCAGGCAAGTCCTTGGCAGTCTCACACAAGCTGTCTGCCAAGTCCGATAATAAAGCAAGAACATAAATCACAGGCTATCGCCATACACACAGAATCCCTCGGAGCTGCTCTCACAAATTAACACGTTGTCCCGAACAAATTCTCAGAGCGAACACACCCACTTTTATTCTCTGTGGGGCGTGTCAGTCCCTCATCTCAGTCTCTAATTCGTCCTTTCCTTTTACGTTGCAACTTACACTTTTGCCTGCGCCGTTGCCTCGCATCAAGCCAGCATTCCTCGGCTTGATCCTCAGTCAGAGGCTCTGATACGTTCTCCTGATTATCTGCCGACACCTGAGGCACAATCAGGGGGGAAGATCCTGCCGAGGAGGAAAGCCCTGGGGCGGAAGGCAATTCCAAATCCTCTAACAAAGCAGGCTCAAACCTCAGAGCCAATTCCTCCTCTTCCTCATTTACCAAGTCCTCGACCTCTGACAAAGCAGGCTCAAACCTCCGAGCCACAACACATGTGTGTGTGGGTGTGGGTGTGGGTGTGGGTGTGTGTGTGTGTTCCAGCATAACTCTGGAATGCCTGGGCCGCTGAAATATAAAGGAATGAATTATATCTATAGTGTCAAATCACAGTACCTTTGACAGTGAGAGTGTGCATTTTGGATTCAAGTTCTGTTAAGGTACAGCCTGTTGCGCCTTAAAATGGGTTCTACTATACAGGACTGTGGAGTTGCCATGGTAACGGCTTCACGGTACTCCACAAGGGGGCTCCCTCTGGTAAGGGGGATTGGTTTTTTCAAAAAACAAGGGGGCTCCCTCTGGTAAGGGGCCCTCAACTTCAAGCACAGAGGGCAAGTCGTCAGGGGAGGTGCCTGCTAATGCAAACAATCACCTCAAAGCAGTGGTGGGATTTCGAAGTGGTTTAGCACTGGTTCGGTGGGCGTGGCTTGGTGGGCACGCTTTGCATGTGCCAAACTCGTGCTTTGCGCATGCGCAGAAGTTTTCCTACTCACCTGCAATCCTGCACTCTCCCTGTGTCTTGAACAGCTGAGGCACAGCAATATGTTGTGCCGCGCAAAGCAGCTGCACTCCAAAAGCAGGAAATAGCGGTTAGTATGGGAGCCCGGTCGGGCGGGTGGGCCCAACATTTTTTGTATAAAAATACAAGAGCAAACAATAGATACAAACTCAAGGTTAATCGTACCAAACTTGATGGCAGAAAATACGACTTCAGCAACAGAGTGGTCAATGTCTGGAATCCTCTACCTGACTCTGTGGTTTCTTCCCCAAACCCAAAAAACTTTAACCTTAGACTGTCTACTATTGACCTCACTCACCCCTTTCCTAAGAGGTCTGTAGGGGGCGTGCATAAGCGCACCAACATGCCTACCGTCCCTGTCCTATTGTTTCTTTTTATTTTACTTATATGTACCCATTTCATGTATTCATAGCTATGTTTATACTTTTACCTGTTATCTTATAATCGCTTGACAAAAAGAAATAAATAAATAAAAATGCCATCTTCGGTGTACATTATAGATAAACAAACCTATAAAAATAAAACAAAGACACTTATGAACACTCCCCTTATGGACCTCTTAAATAGGAAGTGAGGTCCACAGAAGTGAATTTGTCACTAAAACTGTGAACATTTGTAGCTGAGACAACTGAATCAGATAGAGCGTTCCAAACTTTGACCACTTTATTACAACAATTGTATTTTTTACAATGCTGAGACATTGCAACTGTCATAAGTACATGAGTTCTGACCAAGGCTTCCGAGACCGTAATTACGCACATACTTATTTTAAAAACAAGTCTTGTTTTATTGCAACGTTGGGAATTGTTTTCATTCCTAGCCGGTAATGAATCTCAAACAGTCCCTCGAGATAAGCACCCACCTTTCTTTCCTGTGAAGTGCTACCAATAACAGAAGTGTCAAATGAACTAGGAAAAAAAAAAACCAACCGAAGTACAAAGAGCTTCAAGAACGAATCTGAACTGATCAAACTACTTTGCTTCCTGCAAAGGTTTCTTCACCTTTTCCTGTCCTTTATCCCTTATGGGAGAGGCAATCACCTCCCAGCCTTACTCCCAAGTCGCCCCTTTTGTTTCAGCTGTTCTCGCCTTCTAGCAGCTCTACGCACACGTGCACTGGGAACAGGCTCCCCCTGGTCCTCTTCCTCGCTGCTGCCAGATTCCGGAGACTCCGGAGTCAGCAATAACTCCCAGATGGTCCTGGCCCTATCTCTGCATCAGATGCAGGACCCTCGTCCGAGTCCTCCCCAGACTCCCTGACTGGTCCCCTTTCTTCCCCACTGTCCGATTCTGCTGCCGGCAAATCACAACAACATGCCAGTTGCCAAGCCTCTGAGTTTTGATTGCCTGACCATGGGAATATTTCAACGGTCATAAGTGTGAAAAAAGGTCTTAAGGTACTGTTTTCACTGTTTTAACCTCAAAGCATCACTAAATGAATGGTTGTAAGTCAAGAACTACCTGATATTTAATCCAGGTAGTCCTCCACTTACGACCATAATGGAGCCCAACATTTCTGCAACTGACACATTTGTTAAGTGAATTTTGCCTCATTTTACGACCTTTCCAGCCATAGTCGTTAAATGAATTGGGACACTGCAACCATCATAAATATGAATCAGTTGCCAGGCATCCAAATTTTGATTATGTGACCATGGGAATGCTGCAACGGTTGTAAGTGTGAAAAACAGTTATATAAGTCATAAGTTAGTTGTTAAATTAGTCACACGGTCATTAAGCAAATCCAGCTGCCCCATTGACTTGGCTTGTCAGAAAGTCACAAAAGTTGATTGCAGGACCTCGGGACACTACGATCGTCGTAAATGTGAATCTGTAGCCAAACCTTTGAATTTTGATCACGTGACCCTGAGAATGCTGTGAAAATCGGTCCTAAGTCCCTTTTTTCAGTGCCATTGTAAGTTTGAACGGTCACTCAATGAAATGGTGTAAGTCAATGACTACCTTATTACATGCTGGCCTGAGTTTTCTTTTCTTTTCGTTCTTCGCTTTCTGTCAAGTCTTTCCAAATTCTTCCAGCAGATGGTAGCAGCACTCAAACTTACGAGTTTTCCTTCAGACAAAGTTCTGTAAATATATATGTATGTATGTATGTATGTATGTATGTATGTATGTATGTATGTATGAATGTATGTATGTATGTATGTATGTATGTATGTATGTATGTATGGTATTCAGCTTTGTTCGGGTATTTTCCCACGTCATAGTAGTGGTGCTTTTAAAGTTGTAGCAACGTTTCAGCAGAATCTCATCTGCCATCATCAGGCTTCTGTATTGTGTTCGTCTGTGAGTCAGGCTTTTATAGTGGTTTCAGATTTGAATTTGGGGCAGCCTATTGCTGTGGCAGAATGGTTTTTTCTTCATCCTGATTGGTTGAGAGTCTTGGTCTGTGTTTATTGGTCTTGGAGTTTGCTGTGTTCTGCTTCTAATATCTTCTGTCTGTTTTTTTGGCTCTTTTTGTATCTTGATTGGCTGGCAACATTGTGTTACTTTATTGGAGGCCTTTAGTGCAACTTGGCTTCGGGTAAATGGACGGCTATCATTAGTTAGGAAGCTGGGTTTCATCTGAGTGCCTGGTTGGGGTGTGTTTGAGCTGGAGGTATCAAGGGAGATCTGTTTGTGCCCAGGTGTTTGGCTGGCTTGTGGTTTGGAGATTTTTTTGTTTGTAAGTGCAGATATATATATATATATATCTCAGAATTTGATTTTGCAATTGTGGAATTTCCAGATGCATACGGTATTCCTTCCGAGGTGGGTAAAATGAGGACCCAGATTGTTGGGAGCAAGAGGCTGACTATAAAACTAGCAGTACCTGAACACACTTGTAAGTGGATCATAAGCTTCCTAACAGACAGGAAGCAGCAGGTGACGCTAGGCGGAATCACATCAGATACCTGTACAATCAGCACAGGGGGGCCCCAAGGCTGTGTGCTTTCTCTACTTCTCTTCTCCCTATATACCAATGACTGCATCTCAAACGATCCATCTGTTAAAATACTGAAGTTTGCTGATGACACAACAGTGATTGGTCTCATTCGAGACAACGACGAATCCGCATACAGACAGGAGGTTATAAAACTTGCCTCGTGGTGTAACCGGAACAATCTGGAACTGAACACACTCAAAACTGTAGAAATGGTGGTAGACTTTAGAAGAAACCCTCCCATACTACCACCTCTTACAATACTGGACAACACAGTATCAACAGTAGAGACCTTTAAATTTCTAGGTTCTACTATATCACATGACCTAAAATGGACATCTAACATCAAAAACGTCATCAAAAAAGCACAACAAAGAATGTTCTTTCTGCGCCAACTCAGGAAGCTCAAACTGCCCAAGGAGCTGCTGATCCAGTTCTACAGAGGAATGATTGAGTCTGTCATCTGCACCTCTATAACTGTCTGGTTTAGTTCTGCAACCCAACAGGACAGACACAGAATTCAGAGGATAATTAGGACTGCAGAAAAAACAATTACTACCAACCTGCCTTCCATCGAGGACCTGTAAACTGCACGAGTCAAAAAGAGGGCTGTGAAAATGTTTACAGACCCCTCACATCCTGGACATAAACTGTTTCAACTCCTTCCCTCAAAATGACGCTATAGAGCCCTGCACACCAGGACAACTAGATACAAGGATAGTTTTTCCCCAAACACCATCACTCTGCTAAACAAATAATTCCCTCAACACTGTTCAGCTATTTACAAAGTGTACACTACTATTACTGTTAATCTTCTCATCACTCCTTATCACCCATCCCCTCCCACTTGTGATTGTAGGACTGTAACTTTGTTGCTTGTATCCTTACGATTTATATCGACTGTTTCCTAGTATGATTTGATTGTTGATTGTACCCTATGACTATCATTAAGTGTTGTACCTTATGATTCTTGATTCTTAACAAATGTATCTTTTCTTTATGTATACTGAGAGTCTTTACACCAAGACAAATTCCTTGTGTGTCCAATCACACTTGGCCAATAAAGTATTCTATTCTATTTTAAATCGCTTTCTGACAGTGAGAACAATCAACCAATGAAACATCTTGCCCTCAGAAGTTGTGGGAGCTCCATCACTTGAGACTTTCAAGAAGAGATTGGACTGCCATCTGTCAGAAATGGTGTAGGGTCTCCCGCTTGGGCGGGGGGTTGGACTAGATGACCTACAAGGTCCCTTCCAACTCTGATTATCTGTTATCTGTTATCTGCTTAGAGAGGGCTAGAAAGCACTGTGAAGTTGTATTTAAGTCTAAGTGCTCTTGCTAAGTTCTCTCTGTCTATCATCCATCCATTCCCCCCATCATCCATCTATCTATCTCTTTGTCTGTCTGTCTATCCATCCAGCTATCTAACTAATCTATCTATCTATATATATCATCTATCTATCTATCTATCTATCTATCTATCTATCTATCTATCTATCTACCCACCCATCCATCCAGCTAGCTAATCTATCTATTTCTATCCATCCAGCTATCTATCCATCCAGCTATCTAGCTAATCTAGCTACCTATATGGTGCTAATCTAGCTAATCTAGCTACTTGACGGTGAGAACAATCAACCAACAGCTTGCTCTCGGAAGTTGTGGGAGCGCCATCACTTGAGACTTTCAAGAAGAGATTGGACTGCCATTTGTCAGAAATGGTGTAGGGTCTCCCTCTTGGGTGGGGGAGTTGGACTAGATGACCTACAAGGTCCCTTCCAACTCTGATTATCTGTTATCTGTTAAATCTATACACATCATCCATCTCTCTAGTCCTGTCTTTCTCTTTATATACAGTATCTATCTCTATCTATCTTAGCTATATCTGTCTTCTATCTATTCATCCAGCTATCTAACTAAACTAGCTATCTATACATATCATCTATCTACCTACCTATCTACCTACCTATCTATCATCTATCCATTCATCCATCCAGCTATCTAGCTAATCTATCTATTTCTTTCCATCCATTCAGCTATCTATTGTCAGAAAGTTTCTCCTTATTTCCAGGTTAAATCTCTCCTTGTTCAGTTTCCATCCATTATTGCTTGTCTGGCCTTCAAGTGCTTTGGAAAATAGCTTGAACCTCCTCCTCTCTGGGGCAGCCCCTCAAATATTGGAAGACCGCTATCATGTCTCCCCTGGTCCTTCTCTTCCCTAGACTAGCCAAGCCCAGTTCCTGCAACCGTTCATTGTATGTTTTAGTCTCCAGTCCCCTCATCATCCTGGTTGCTCTTCTCTGCACTCTTTCTAGAGTCTCAACATCTTTTTTATAGTGTGGTGACCAAAACTGGATGCAGTATTTCAAGTGTGGTCTCACCAAGGCTTTATAGAGTGGTATTAGTACTTCCCTTGATCTTGATTGCAGGTTAGTGAATGCAGATTGCATCTCTGTGAATGCAGCTTAGGATTGGATTGGCTTTTTTGGCTGCCGCTGCACACTGCTGGCTGTGAACGTAGCCATGTGAATGTGTGTGGATGCAGCCACAAGTCCTCGTGTTCTGTCCCATTCCCCCCCACCGCTGTGTGTGCGATCGTCCCGATGCAATGGCTACACCCTTTTGCCAAAGAAGTTGTAATGTTTTGTCCCAGCATCTCTGCAAGATGCAACTCGTCCAGCAACAGCTGCAGGGCGCATTCCAGAATTCACTGGTTGATGAGTTATTTATGGGTTCCTCTAGGGAAACAACCAGATGAAACCAAATCTTCTTTTTTGACTTTTTTTTTTGTTTTTTTTTGCACTTGCCTTCTTGCCTGCAATTTTTTTTTTTTTTTTTTTTTGCTGGAGGGGATTCTTTGGAAGTGCCTCTCCCCACGTCATGAAAATCAAAAGTCCCATTTCCAATGCCTCATCTGAAACACGCCTATGTTGGGTGCTGTTGGCTTCTACCCTTTGGTTTAGTTTAGTTTAGTTTAGTTTAGTTTAGTTTAGTTTAGTTTAGTTTAGTTTATTGTCATTGCACCTCGTACAATGAAATCAAAGACCATCTTCAGTGCACATCATGACCATTAAAATAAACACAAACACACATCCTTCACACTCCAGACATTGAACCGGGAAACCCCCGACACCACACCAACACTGCACTATACAGCAGAATTCAAAAGAGCTCCTGCCCTGGGATAGAAGCTGTTTTTCAGCCTATTTGTCCTTGTTTTTATTATCCTGTACTGTCTGCCAGATGGTAATAGTTCAAAAAAAGGGTTCCCAAGATGAGATGGATCTTTGAGAATATTTTGAACTTTCTTAAGGCAGCCGGAGCTATAAAGCTCTTCCAAAGAGGGGAGAGAGCAACCAATGATCTTCTGGGCAATGACGTTAACCCTCTGGAGTGCTTTCCTATCTGCCACTGTGCAATTGGCAAACCCTACAGAGGTGCAGTAAATTAAAATACTCTCTATGGTGTGGCGGTAGAAGGTCACCAGCAGTTTTTCATTTAGTTGTTGTTTTCTGAGAAGCCTCAGGTAGTATAATCTCTGCTGGGCCCTTCTGACCAGGGCTGCAATGTGAGCACCCCAGGTCAGGTCCTCTTTTAGGGTAACACCCAGAAACTTAAAACTGGCCACTTGCTCCACTTGGTCTCCCTTGATAAGCAGGGGCTGGATGTCTGATCTGTTCCTTCTATAGTCCATATAAGCTCCTTGGTCTTATTGGTGTTGAGGACCAAGTTATTGTCTCCACACTTCCATGGAGAGAAGGGGCTGTCACAGAAAGGAAGCTATTTTCCAAGGCATCTGAAGGCCAGACAAGGAATAATGGATGGAAACTGATCAAGGAGAGATTCAATTTAAAAATAAGGAGGAATTTCCTGACAGTGAGAGCTATCAACCCATGGAACAGAAGTTGCCTTCAGAAGTTGTGGGAGCTGCATCACTGAAGGCTTTCAAGAAGAAACTGGACTGCTATCTGTCAGCAATGGATTGTGGTCTCCTGCTTGGGCTTGGGGTTGGACTAGATGACCTATAAGGTCCCTTCCAACTCTGTTAATCTGTTAAAGGCTAAGACCTTGTGATGAGTCAATTCTCTCCCGATGGAGACAGCGCCAAAAATCTAGTTGACCTTTCCAAGCTGCGTATCATTTGGCAATCCAAGAGACATTGCTTGGACCTCTTCCTGCTCCTGTCCCAAGTCGGAAATGGCTGGAAGCAAGTTGAGATGAGAGGCTGCTGAAGGACCCAGAAGTTGGGTGGGGAGGATTTACAGAAGGAAATTCCAGGTGCCCCAGCATGGTCAAGCTGGGTCACCACCAGTCATTTAATAGAACAACAGAGTTGGAAGGGACCTTGAAGATCTTCTAGTCCACTCCCTGCTCAGGCAGGAAACCCTGTACTATTTCAGACAAATGTTGCCCAATCTTTTCTTGAGAACCTCCAGTGATGAAGCACCCACAACTTCTGGTGGCAAGCTGTTCCACTGGTTAATTGTCCTCACTCTTAGGAAGCTTCGCTCCAGGTTGCTTCTCTCCTTGATTAGTTTTCATCCATTGCTTCTTGTCCTTCTGGTGCTTTGGAGAATAGCTTGACCCCCTCTTCTTTGTAGCAGTCCTTCAAATATTGGAAGACTGCTACCATATCACCCCTGGTCCTTCTTTTCATTGGACTAGACATACCCAATTCCTGCAGCCATACTATATATGTTTTAGCCTCCAGGCTCCTAAGAAATAGTTCTTGAGGACTGGTGTGCATTTCTGTGTGTTTCAGAGGTGGTATTCAGCACGTTCTGACCAGTTCTGGAGAACCGGTAGCGGTAATTTTGACTAGTTCGGAGAACCGGCAAATCCCACCTCTGACTGGCCCCACCCCATCTCTTCTCTGCCTCCCATTGAGTCCCATCTGATCATCTGGGTCTTCTTTGGTTGCCCTGCCCAGGAGAACGGA